TCTTAAAGAATGCAGTTGGCCTCAAAATGCTATAGGTGAATCCATTATCTAATTCAGCTTCTTTCATCAATTCAGCCTCAAATTTCAGCTTTGCTAGCTGAAATTCAAGAAGGGGCTTTTGCACACATATAGCAGAAAGTAACACAAAATGTGATGCCCCTAATTTCCTACCTGCAAGAAGACTATTCTTTGTTGCCTCATAGTCAAATTTCCAGGAATCCTTAACACCACCAGTCCGGCTAGCAATACAAGACACAACAACATCAAATGACAAACCTAATTCCTGCAAAGATTTCTCCAAAGTACCCAAACTGGTAACATCTGAGAAAAACACATTAGGTCCCTGGAATTCATTCAAGGTATCTTCTTTACTATTCCTACCCCTGATTCCACTCCTCTCCCTCGCAATGGCTATAACATTGAACCCCAATCAACCAGCTGATGAACTACAAATTCTCCAGTATATCCAGTTGAACCCACCGCCAGAATATTAATATCTTTTGGGTTTTTGCTTCTAAAGGATGATGCTTTAGTGGTTTCAACACTTGTCTGTTGCAAAGCTGTAATGGGTTTGAATCTCTCTCTCCTAAGCTCCGACGGCTTTGATAAGTTCTGAGATGAAGATGCTAAGGCTTAAGATACTGAATTTACCTGGATTTGTCTGACGGATTGACAGGAGAACCGAGTTTTGTAGATTTGGGGCCGTGCTGAATGGAGGGTGGATGCATTAAAGGAGGAAAAAAGGGGCATTCTTTTCCTTCTTTACATGTTTCCTTCAATTCAAAAAAAGGTTTTGGTTGAGGAGAAGTGAAATGGGTTTTGTGTTTTCAGGAATATAGAAACCAAAAGGAAACAAATTGAAGTATGGCGAGAAATCAAAGGGCAGGAAACCGAAGAAAAATGTTCGGCAGGTAAGCAGGGTTTCACAGTCACTGTGAGTTTGGCACGCCGTGGTGAATGCTAAACATGTAGGTGGATAAGAAAAACAATCTAATCGAGTGAAGGGGTGGGTTGGGTCGGGTCGGATTTTGGATTATGTCAAAATTTTCAGTTCCATTTCTCATTGTCCGCATAAAAAATAAAACAGCTTCTACCACTGGTGCCTGGAAAATCCCGAGGAAAACTTCAAAATTATTATTATTATTATTTTTTAATCAAAATTAAGTTCATTTCTTGCAGAATGAAGGTGATCATGGGCAGAAAATGGCCGTTTCTCAGTGTAATCTCGTGGCCATTAGTGTTGGGATTTCTTTCAGTGACAGCTGTTTGGCTTCTTCTTCTTCTTCTTTTTCTTCTTCTTCTTCTTCTTCTTCTTCTTCTTTTTAAGGTTGGTTGTATAATAAAAAATTCTTCTTCTTCTTCTTCTTCTTTTTAAGGTTGGTTGTATAATAAAAAATAATTTTTTTATCTAATTTACTTATCAAACGATTCGAATTTAAGATTTTTTACTTTCAATTGTTTAGTTATTCTTTGGACCATAGAGCATATATTGTTGAGAAATGATATGTAAGGGCAGAAGGGGAAAAATTAGTAATATATTTAGTTTGAGAATAATCAAGAGATGAAGGGAAAATGATGAGATTCTTGACAAAATAAATTATAATATTTAAAAATATTATAATTTAATTAATTATATAAAATTTTCTTTTCTCCACTGTCATTAACTCAAATA